GGTGGGGGGAGGGCTGGGCGGGGAGAGAAGTACAACAATGAATGAATAGAAATCCAAAATCTCTGTAAATGTTCATTAAAATTACTAATAAAAAAAATTAAAAACTTAAAAAAAAAAGAACCTCTCCAGAGTGCAATGATGTCAGTTGAAAGACTAAGGTGTGCCTGATTCAAACTATGGTCATTTTTTTTAACTTTTTTTAAAATTGAGACTTTAACAAAAGTTTATAGAGAACTTGGATTTCCATTCATTCATTGTTGCACATTTTCCTCCCTGCCCCACCTCCCCCTAGTTCACTTTTCTCTTTGGAAAAAAATTTCTTTGTTATACAGGTCCATCCCCCACGACCCCCAGTCCACTTTACTATGCAGCTCTTATTCTGGACTCCTGTCATGCCAATAATACCTAATCATATATTCCTTTTATATAGTTCTCTCCCTCGGCTGTTTCAATGCCATGTACATTATTTATCCTCTTTTTTCAGTTTCTCCTCCAACTTCCATGTCAGTTTAGTTTTATAACAGTGGCATTATGCAGTTATTTGTCCTTTTGTGACTGAGATATTTCACTCATCATAACGTCCTCTATGGTCACCCATTTTGTGTATTTCATGAGTGCATTGTTTTTCAGTGTTGTATAATATTCCATTGTGTGAATACACCACAACTTTTCTAGCCATTCATTTGTTGATGAACACTTGGGTTGTTTCCAACTCTTTGCTATTGTGAACAAAGCAACAATCCACATAAGTGGCCATCAAATTATAGTTTTTTGAAGTGTTTGCTAGGCATCTGAAAGCTGGGCAATAACTAAAGATAACAGAAGAAGAATCGATGTCTTTGAGCTGTGGTGCTGCAGTAGAGTACTGAACATACTATGGACTGCCAAGAGAACAAAGGGGTCTATCCTAGAGAAGGTGATACTAGGTGCTCCTTAGAGGCAAGGATTTTGAAACTCTGTCCTTTATACTTTACATATGTTAACAGGAAGGGTCAGTCCTTGGAGAATGACATCATGCTTGGAAGGGTAGAAGGTCAGCATAAGAGAGGAAGACCTTGGAGGAGATGGATTGACAGAGTAACTATGGCAATGGGGTCAAGTGTGCCAGGGACAGTGAGGTTGGTAAGGTTCATAGGGCCGCTATGAATCCTAGTTTATTTGATGGCACATAACGAGCTGTACTTGACTAAATGGCACCTAACAAATGGTGTATTCTGTAGGGAGTACACTGCTAACTCAACAGTTAATAGTTAGAATCCAGCAAGGGCTGTGAAGGAGAAAGATGGGCAGTTTCCTCCTATGCCAATTATAACATCCAAAAGCCCGCTAGAGGGTTAACCATGAGTTAGTTCTGAGTTTTTGGGTTTTGAGAAGACATTTCTGGTTGCTGACAGTGGAGTTGTGACTGACATCTAGTGGGCAGAGGCCTCGATGCAGTAAAACATCCTACACTGTAGAGCATCCACAAGTTGAGAAACCCAGAGTTACAGTGACCAAATCGAAGAATCATCTTCAATTCATTTTTCACTCACCTCTTTCACTTAAATCAATACCAAGTCCTAAAGGCTCCATATCTGCAAAATACCCTCAAACTGAGTACTTTTCTCCCACCAACATGCTAATAAGTCACTCACAGCCTAAACTACTGAAACCTCTGGAAAGGTGATCCTGCTTCTGTCTTTTCATAGGACATGGAGGAAGAAGGCATCTTTTAAAAAGAAAACTTCTCTAATAATTTTTTGCTACCTCTTTGTCATGGTAACAATATCTACCATTCTCTCCCAGTTTACTAAGCTTCAATCACTGTGGGTTCTATACTTCGAAAAAATTTAGTCCTTTCCTACCTAAAAGCCTTTATGTTTCTCATTTTTTTGTTTCACATATTCCTTCCCCAAATAATCACATTGCTAGTTTCTTCTAATTATTTTGATCTTTTGTTCAAATGGCATCAAGACTTTCCCTTCTCTCTATATTTTTACCTCATTACTCTTTCTCCTGCTTTATTTTCTTCATAGTATTTAATTTTATCATTTGCTTATTGTCTCTAAGATTATAAACTCCACAGGGCACAAACTGTACAGTCATTACTGTATCACCAGAATCCTAAGTGGTGCCTGATACTTACAGGTACTTAAATGTTTGTTGAAGGAATAAATTAAAAATAATATGACTCCAAAATATATATGTCCTTCTCAGAATGTAGCACTATTGCACTAATATCTAAATATTCACTGGATGCTATTAATGGAGGCTTACAAGGTCAAAACGCTCAGCTGTGAATGTTCTAAGTGATCTCAGAAAAAATCTCTACCAAAAAGCTCAAAAACTTTTGTGTCATTATCTAAGTCTCAGCTGGGCAAGTCCAGCAATAAATCACCATCCAAGGGCTACAATGAAAAGGGCCTGGGAAGACTGACTCTTCCTCTTTATCCCACTTTGGAGAGGAAAATGAGGTAGTGTATGAGCAAAGCACTGAGTTCTCAGAAGAGTTAACAGTAGAAATGACATGCTTTATATCTGTACACGGCCTCTGATACAAACAAAAAGCTTCTTGGAACCTTCTAAAGCCTGATTTTACTAGTTTCCCTGGAAAATCAACAACAGTGGTGCTCTGACAGTGTTATTTTAAGACAGTCACTGTTAGTGACGTAGATGAAAGGCCTGGCCTCTAGTGAAATGAAAAGAGCCTGGATTAGAAAGCTAGACCAAGTTTTAGCTTTAAGTAGCTATGTGAATTTAGAGATATTACATATACTCAGAATCCCAGTTATATGAACTGTAAAATGGGAATAATTCTACTTACTGTTTTGAGCCACTTAATGATGTAATAATTTGTAGCAAATGTCTAAGAGCTATTAAACATATGCTAGGACTACTCCAAATACATGATGTATGTGACAGGTAAACTCCAAATACATGATAAATGGATGATGCCAAAAAATTTGTAAAATTATTTAAATTAGACACATACCTTTAGCTTCTTTAGTTCAAGTTGGTGATGTTGTAAAGAATGTTCACATTGATTCCTACTTTCTTTAAGGGCTGTATTTTCTTGCTCCAGCTCTTTCTGCAAATTCAGGAAAAAAATGTTTATATATATGTGTGTACACACACACACACACAAATACAAAGTCCTAGAGAGAGTTAAACCAGAATGGTCCTTGGAGGCAAGGATTCTGAAGCTTTGACATACTTTGGACACGTTGCAAGGAGGGACCAGTCCTTGGAGAAAGACGTCATGCTTGGGAAGGTGGAGGGACAGTACGCAGGAGAGGAAGACCCTCTATGAGGTGGGCTGATTCAGTGACTGGGGTAGTGGGGTAGATGTGTCAAAAACAGTGAGACTGGCACAGGATAGTGCAGGATTTAGGGCTGTTGTACACAGAGTCGCTATAAGTTGCAGGTGACTCGACAGCACATAACAACAACATATATATAAAGAAAAGTTATGGTCTTAAACACAGTATTTCTCCTGTCTCTTTGACATTCTATTTCTAAAATGCCTTTTTTTTAGGGGGGCGTGGTCACTACCGAGATGAAAAACTCATCAAGACGCATCAAGACTCAAAAGACTCTCGGGGCTCTGGTGGCCTAGTAGAAAGAAGCTACTATATTGCAATCCCAAAGATACGCAGTTTGAATCCACCAGATAATGTTCTGCTGGAGAACAAGGGGCAATCTCCTGTACCAGTCAGATCCGATTTGATGGTACACACAAAAAATAATAAAATAAAAAAATTTAAAAAAAAAACAAAACAACCTAACTCGGGCATACTGACAGGGGACCACTAGAAGTAAAAAGCCAATAGAGGAAAAAACCCTAATTTTAGACAGGAAGAAAGCTAAGGTGGATGGTCAGGAAGTTCCTTTGGCGCTTAAGGAAAAACACAACTTTTTAAACATCCAGTCTGTCTTGTTGGAAAGGTACAAACTTGCTCCCTAGTTCACAGAAGGAGTTTCTTGTCCTGTCAAAGCACCTAGTAGAACTAGCTGTGCACAAGCCAGGTATCCAGTGGTTGGCCTCATCCGCTTGTCACTCACCATCTCCTGCTTCATGGCTGCTGTGTCAGCTGCCTGTGCTCTCTCCAGGGCAGCTATCTGGGCCTCCAGCACGTGAACACGCTCTGTGCACTTCTGCTGAGCCGTGACAGCCTGCTGTTGAGCACATGTGATGTCTTCATTTGCGATGGACTGCAGTAATATCAAGGGGACGATGATTCATGGTGACAATGTTGTTTAAAGGGAGGCTTTTTTCTGGTCCTAGGTGACCACAAGACAGATGTCCAAGTGAAGCAACTCTCCTCCCTGAGAGTTGCTAAGGGCCCTACCTTCAGCCCTGCCTGATGCTCAGGACCTTTGCCTGCCTGAGAGGTGGGATATGGCACTGTCCCTGATGCTACAGCTTCCATCTTCAGGAATCTAGTGGCAATTCTGGGCAACATTAGCCTAAGACATAGCTCTCCCTCACCTTATTCAATGTTGCCCTTCATGGCAGAAGCTTTTCCTTAGAGAGAGAAAAAAGAAAAAATAGAGTGGTCAAGAATGAGGGATCTGACAAGAAAGATGTGGTTTTATTTATTTTGGCTCTGTGTTGATCGGCTAATGATCTAATGTTTCTGCGCTTATTTATAAAGTATGAGGGTAATAGGCATATACCTTTTAAGTCAGCTGCAAAAACGAAATGAAAAATATGTGCAAAGCAATTAGCATAGTTGCTGAGACATCACAAATGTGTGCAGTACATGCTCTTGATCTGTGCTATCAAGTTGCAAGTGATTCACAGCTGACCTTCCAGTGGGTTCTCAGAGGCTGTAAATAGCACAGGAGGAGACCACCCATCTTTCTCCTACAGAGCAACTGTTGGATTTGAATCACAAGCCTTTGGGTTGGCAGTACAACTCCTTACAACGAGGCCACCAGAGCTCCCTCCAGGACATGCTGCTTGTCTATATTTCTCTAGTTTCTAACTTAACATCTCTACCTGGGGCTGCAATTCTGGCCAAGTCCTTGACATTCTCTCTCCAAAGCCTGGACTATTCCCCATATACTTGATTATAAGCAGGGGTTTCACCACCTCAGACAGCGCCAGAACTGGATGGACCCAAAGATTACATGTGAGGTGGGAAACAGCCAGGTACCACACCTGTCTGGGTAACTCAGGCACCACAGCAGGGCAATACTTCTGCTTGCTGCTGCCCACCTGCTCCCATGGAACACAACAACTGACTTTAATGTCTGGTTCAAATACCATTTCAGAAGTTGAAAGTGAGGTTCAGAGTTTAAAAAAAGCATAAAGGGAAAGCATTAATGGCCTAGGACACAGCATCTAGAAGAAAAGCAGCACTTACAAGCGCTTGAATCTGAGCCTCCCGCGAAGCCACAACTTCACTGCTCTGCTTTAACTTCTCCTCAGAAACCTGGAGGGACTGCTCTAGTTCTTTCACCTGAAGGAGAAACAGAAGGATTCTTTCTGATCTAAAGAAGCTGAAGAGTAGAAACAAATGACTTAAAAAGTCACATCAGTTTAAATCATAAACATTATAGGAAAAAGGAAAAGAAAAAGAAATGTTACTCTTAAGTCCACTTATTAAAAATACTTGTATTACCTTCCAGTAATTCTTCATAAATTTATTTTACAAGTTTGAATAACATTTAAAAGAAACTACATTAAAAACATAGGGAGCTCTGATGTCCCAGTGGCAAGAAGCTGCGCTGCAATCCCAGAGGCACACTGTTCAAATCCACCAGATGCTCTGATGAAAAAGGAGGGACAATCTCCTCCTGTACCAGTCAGATCCAATTTGACAGTACACACAAAAATAATAATAAAATAAAATGGAAAAAATAATTTTAAAAAACCACATTAAAAACAACAAAATTTTTTTTAAAAATTTTATTATTTTTGTGTGCGTGTACCGTCAGATCAGATCTGACTGGTACAGGAGGAGATTGCCCCTCCTTCCCCGGCAGAGCATCTGGTGGATTCGAACCGTGCACCTCTGGGATTGTAGTTGCAGCTTCTTGCCACTAGGCCACCAGAGCTCCCCTTAAAAACAACAAAATTTTTAAAAAGACAAAATAAACTATATTGTTTTGTTTATGTCTTACTCCTAAATTTTATTCCATGCCTCTCTGTACAGAGTACATACTTTAGATTTTTTTTTTCTTTTGGGGTGGGGGTAGTGGGCTCAACACGATGCCTCTTAACTTTCTGAACCACATCCCTACCATGTGGGCACTAACGTTGTTTTCCATGTTTTCCTCCTGACTAAAATAATGCAGCAGTCAACATCTTTATGAAAAATAATTTGGTTTTGTTTGCCTCACTTCCTTAGGACAGATACCTGGAAATAGAATTACTATGTCAAATAGAACAGCCATCATGAAGGCTCATGATACAAGCTTAGGTTTTCTCAATCTACGCATGTTGAATAGGTCTGCTGATGCATCTGATCCAGCACTAGATTCATGAGGTTAGAGTGAGTCAACAAGTCAGAGAGAGACCTATTGTCAGGGAAGTCACTGTCTAGTACGGCCCAGATTGGTTCTCGTATTTTTTTAACAATCTTTTGTTTGTTTCAAAAATTTTATTCTGATTTATTTACAAAGTTTGAATACATTGTTTTTCACAAAAGCTCCTTCCCATTTCCTTCACCTCATTCAGGTTCTCCATATTTATCCTCTTTATCTCTTTTTCTTATTTTATTTCTCTTATAAAGGACTTCTGTTTTTATAAGCAAAAATAAGATTTGACCTTGACAATCTTTATTACTGAAACACGAACCCAAGGAAAGTAGTTGCTTGTTGAAGCAGAAGTATTATTCATACCCGATGAGAGAAGGGTATTACTACCTCCACTGTTGTTGTTAAGTGCTGTCGAGTTGCAGGCTACTCATAGTGACCCTACTACCCCCATAGAGAACAGTAATTTCACCGATACATGATCACAAATTTTAGTAGTAGCAAAGCCTGGACTAAAACCTAGTCTTTTTAAACTCCTGAGATCAGAAAAATACCCACCAAATTCCAAATTTGAAAGTTAGAGCTCAGGAAAAATGCTGATTTTCAATAGGTTAAATTATAAGACACATACCTAGAATAAATGAAAACATTTTTGTGTCAATGTCATGTACAGAATTCTTGCACATGAATTTTCAGGGCTTTATTATTTATAAGACACAAACAGGAAAAAGAACCCAAATGAATGGACAGATAAAATGTGGCCTATTCATACAATGGAATATTATTTAGTCACAAAAAGAAACTGTAGTGTTATCACAGGCTACAGCACTGAAGAACCTCAAAAACACTGTGTTCACTGAAAGAACCAGGCACAAAAGACTGCTTATGACTCCATTTGTAAGAAGTTCAGAACAGATAAATCTAGATGCAGAATATAAATCAATGGTTTTCCAAGGCTGACGCTGGGCTGGGCAAACAGTCTAAAATTGATAATGGTGATCGTTGCCTAACTTGTGATTATAAGAAAAGCCATTAAATTGTATACTTTAAGTGAGAGAACAGGATGACACGTGAATTATATGTCAATAAAGCTGCTTATATAAATAATTCTATTTTTAGGGAGACATATTCCTCCTAAAAACTCTCTTAATAGAGCTTCTGGTTCCTGCCAAGATGGCCAATTATCCTGAGTTGCTGGTTCCCTTCTACAAAATCAACCCTGGAAAAAAAATCAATCCTGAAATAAGCAAAATGGAAATATGAATTATAAAAATTTAATCACAAAGAACATTCAAGAGAAACCAAGGTTATAAAGAAAGGCAGAAGGTTGTAGCCTGTAGTGGGGGCAACCAGAGACAGTAGGAAGAGGGGTGGCTTTTGATCTTTGTTCTTGTTCCTCCTCACTCTTCAGCTTGTCCTCAGACAGCCAGTGTCTGTCCCTTCCATCACAGGAATGGAAGGCCATCAGTGTACATTATTTGCAGGGTGACATGAGAACAGCATAAATCCTTACTTGTGGAACGCTTCACGAATTTGCGTGTCATCCTTGCGCAGGGGCCATGCTAATCTTCTCTGTATCGTTCCAATTTTAGTATATGTGCTGCCAAAGCGAGCACAAATCCTTACTTGTGAAGGGATGAAACAGGAGAGGACTATTTGTCCTGAGGCCTCCCTACTCCACGTCTCCTTTCAAACACCAAGTTTTGTGGATCAAATTGTGGGAAACCACTTTTTCCTACTTCCAGTGCTCAGAAGGTCCTTTAGAAGCTGGAAAAAACTGACCAGAGGAATGGTCTGGTAGGCTGGCAGCAAAGCATCTCAAAAACTTCACTGGTGCTTGAAAGACTTTGCCTAGTACATGTGTCTCGCTTCTCTTAAACTCACCTGGGCTGACAAAGACTAGATTCTAGCTGTTAGCCCTCTCCCAAAGTGTGTGTACTGCCAGACGTAATACTGATGCACAAGGGCACATGAGTTCCTGTTGTTGTTCTTTGTTGCTTTCAAGTTGACCATAATTCCTAGTGACCCTATGTACAACCCTGCCCGATCCTGTGGTATCTTCATAATCTCCAATGTGCTCACACTTACCATTGCCATCACTGTGGCAATCCGTCTTGTTGAAGGTCTTCCTCTGCTCCTCTGACCTGCCAATTTTCCGAAGATGATGTCCTTTTCCAGGGACTGGCTCCTCTTGACAATATGCTCAAAGTATGTGAGATGAATTCTAACCAGTCTAGCCTCTAAGGAACACCCTGACTATACAAGGCAGATTTTCTTTATTCTTTTGGCAATTCATGGTATTTTCAACACACTTTACTGACACAACAATTCAAAGGCATTAATTCTACTTCTGTTTTCCTTATTCGCTAACTTTCATACACATGTTGTTGAGTAGCATTGAGTGGGAACCAAGTAATCCTCCAGTGGGTTTTCAGAGGCAGTTAATCACACAGGAGGAGACTGCTCATCCTCCTGAGGAGCAGCTGGAGGATTCGAACCTCATGGCACTTGGCATTGCAGCGCAGGTTCTTACCTCTAGAACTCCCCTCATACACATATAAAACAATGAAAATACTATGGCTCGATAGGGCACATCTTAATTCCCGCCTTTTTAAATTATTAATTTTAATAAAAGTTTACAGAGACTTTGGATTTCCATTCTTCACTGTGGCACTTTTCTTCCTGCCCATCCCTCCCCCAAGTTCGCTCTTCTCTTTGAAAAGTAAAATTCTTGCATTGTTATACAATCCCTCCCCCTAAGTCCCCTCCACTATGCAGCCTTCATTCTGGACTCCTGTCATAACAATAATACCTAATCATATATCCCTTTTAAACAGTTCTCTCCCTCATCTGTTTCAATGCAGTATACATAATTTATCCTAGGTTTCTCAGTCTCCCCCCTACCCCGATGTCAGTCCCATTTTACAACAGTGGCACTATGCAATATTAGTTCTTTTTCAGTCACCCATTTTGTATAATATTTCATGAGTTCCTTGTTTGTCAGTGCAGCATAGTATTCCATTATATGAATATACCACAGCTTTTCTATCCAATTAGTTTGCTGACAGGCACTTAGGTTATTTCCAACTCTTTGATATTGTGAACAAATCACACCCGTGATAAATATGGGTGTGCATGCACATCTTAATTTTTACACTGTTATCCTGCTATTTAGCACTTCAAAGAGGTCTCTGACAACAGATCTGCCCAATACAATGCACTTTCATTTCTTATCTGCTGATTCCATGGCTGTTGACTGTGGATCCAAATGAAATTAAATTCATGAAAAATTCTATCTTTTCTCCATCTATTATGTTAACTATTGGCCCAATGGTGAGGATTTGTCTTCTTGATGTTGAAGTGTAATCCATACTGTAGTCTTTGATCTTCTTCAGTAAGTGATTCAAGTCCACTTCAATTTCCACAAGGTTGTGTCATCTGCATACTGCAGGTTGTGGATGTCTTCCTCCAATCCTGACACATTCTTCTTCATATAGTCCAGTTTCTGAGATTATTTGAGCCACATACAAATTTAAAAGATATGATAAAGAATGAAACCCTCATGCACACCTTTTCTGATTTTAAACCAGGAAGTAATCCTCTTATTGTTAAATGACTGCTTCTTGGCTTATGTACAATTTCCACAGGAGCACAATTAAAAAGTTCTGGGATTAACATTCTTTTCAGTGTTACTCATAATTTATTATGATCGATATAGTTGAATGCCTTTGTGTTGTTAATAAAATACAAGTAAACATCTTTCTGCTTTCAATCCAGATTCATCTGAAATCAGTAAAAATATCCCTAGTTTCATGGCCTTTTCTGAATTAAGCTTGAATTTCTGACAGTTCTCTGCTAATGCACTGTTCCAGTGATTTTTAAAATAATCTTCAGCAAGATTTTACTTGAATGTAATAAAATAATTCAATGAGTGCAGTTACTATAAAAAAGGTAACATAGGGAACAACATTATATTAACAGA